CAGTTCTAACGCGTGCCGGTAATACATTGGATACTCTTGAATATTCGAACAGATAGCACTGGTCGACAGTTGTGGGCGTGTTATGGTGATTTATTGTCCTCAAATTATTGCGTGCACTTCCTTTGATATTCGTGAGCGTGCCAACATGACCCAATTATCAGTCTTGACTAATGCATTTGTCTATACCGACGAGCATTTGCAGTATGGCAAGCGATGAAAGCAAAATGACGCAATTTGCGAGACTGGTCATCACTCGCAAACCATTGTTAAGTAGGGTTGCCATGCTGATTATCGGGCAGCCTTATGTCAGGCCTTTTCAGTCACTTCCGTATGCCAGCTATTTGAGGAGCTTCTTCCTGACTCCCTATATAACATAGATTCTGCAAAAAATGGCTACTTATTTGGCGGGAATTTTCATCATTGATTTTGACCATCTGTATAAATTCAGATATATTTTATAGAAAACATTCATAAAATCATTCTTTTTGTACAGGTATGGTAGAAAATTACGCCCTCTCTAAAATTATACTTAAAGCGTATCTTTCGTTTTTTTAAATGTCCAATTATAAAATTTTTTCATTCATAATACGCCGTATCCGTCAAGCTAATAATGTTGTCTATAATGTATACAGCATGAGTAACATGTATTGCAAAATTTCATGAGAGCAATGTGACTTCTACCTCAAACCATGGGCTAGAACGTACTTTACCTTAAACAAGGTGTACGCAGCACGCAGTTTGGAAATCTTGAATTCAGGCGTAGCATATGTAGGATTCAAAATGTTGCGGCAATTTATAAAAATTTAAAAATTGAAAGCTATGCTATCTTCAAGCAAAAATATTACAAAAAAGGCGTAATTTGCTACTAAACGAGTACAATAAAGAATATTTCGTGCATGTCTTCTATGAAATATATTTGAACTTATGTAGGCAGTCGAAATCCCCGATAAAAATGCATGCTAACTGAGGAGCCATTTTTTACAGAACCTACTTTTTTAAGGGGTTAGGAAGAAGTTTGTTAAAAAGCCGGAATCCTGACGTAACGGAAAAGGCCTGACATAGGGTTGCGCGATAATCAGTATTACCACCCTACTTAATAGTGTAACTTACCATACTAACAGCCTAAGTACTAGCTAAAAGGTCCAGACACGTGTTTCGCCGGTATTCTGCCACTGACACAGCTGCGAGGCGTCCGTCTCATCAGTGGATTCCCTGAGCTTTCCCTGTCTGTTTTCTGGTTCATACACCGGTTTTGACCTTAAATACACTGATATATAACGCGAACAGAAATTAATTTCTCAGGAGATTAAAAAAGCTGAAACCCTATTTAATTTTGGTTTGTCAGTGGTTACCAGTCTTGACCAAATTGCGGCATTTGTATGCAGCACTCGCCAAACTGCATATGCAAATAATATCTCAGTAAAAAACCAAGCCTGCGATTTAATCTGCCCGTAGTTCAGGATACTGAAACAAATGCAGACCGCCCTCATGCACTCTTTGCAGATTTCTTGCCATCGGTGTACCTAGGAGGCAGGATAGCGTTATTGACGTGCATTTAATCAAATTATCTTCAGCCTCCGTGTTGTTAACCAGCTGATGAGATTTTGCT